TTTAAATGGCCCTGAGCTGTCATTAAGTGCCTTCTGGTCTCCTTGTATCCTGTGAACCTGTGAATAGTAAGTTGCTGACCCGGACTGTGCCCTGACCTTGCTGCTTTCTCCTGTCTTGACCCTTGCTTGCCTGACCTCTCTCCTGGATGCCCCCTATTGGATCTGACCTGCTGTTGCTGACCTGGCGTGTGACCCGACTATTCTCTGCCCGCTGCTTTGTACCGCACCATCCCCATAGTTACCGACCCGGCCTGCCAGACTTTGCACTTGCTCAGCCATCCATCCATCCCTCTCAACGGGGTCTCCAGACCTCCTCATATCTGGCTCTCTCCCATGGGAGCCCCTGGTGAATACCCCTACCACTGACGGGTATCCTCAGTAGTCACGACCTGGTCCTGGGGTACTCCAAGTCCATCCCCACCATCAGGGGCTCTGGTGAACAAGTACTCTGGGGCTTAGACTCCGTACGCTGGGGACGCCTGATCAGTGGAGTGCTAGTGGTACCGCCGGGCGGTCCCTTACATCATGTGCGTGGAAAGACTGGCCGACCAATACTTTTGGCAATATAGTGAGTATATATATATATACTGTATATATATATATATATATATATATATATATATATATATAATTTTTTTTTTTTTTTACTGCATACAAGCTAATTATTTTACTATATGCACATTTTTTTACAAGGGCCAAAAAAAAATTAATGAAGTAGTAATGTTTGTAATTCCAGAAACTTCTTTTACTAATTATAGACAGTGCTGTATAGTTCTGGAAACAAATCTAAGGGGCATAAACAACAGCTTAGACAAACATTTCAAGCAAGAATATATAATACTGAAACAACGTTTTTGCTATAAATAGCAGCGTTTTAAAAAAGATGCCATTTAAACCTAAACTTCAGACACAAAAATTCATCCACTTTGTGTGCCTCGAATGCCTTTACAAACCCAGATGTTACCTTGAAAAGTAGTGGGGACATCATCACTGCACTGTAGATAGCCTGTGCAAAGAGCAGAGCTGTGGGCAGGGCCCAGCAGGACCTACCCATTACTGGCTGCCTGCAGAAAACTACAGGAGGGGGTGGAGAAAAGACCAGTCACCCTGCACAAGGAGAGAAAGCAGAGCAGTGGGAGGGACCCAGTAGGCTCCAACCAGTACAGGCCTCCGGCAGAAAACTACAGGAGGGGGCGGAGACAAGGCTAGACACCCTGCATAATGAGAGAGAGAGTAGAGCTGTGGGCGGGACCAAGTAGGCTCCACCCAGTACAGGCCTCTGGCAGAAAACTACAGGAGGGGGCGGTGACAAGACCTCGCCTTCTCTTCCGACATCAGTGCCTGACCTCAAAAAGGTGCTTCTGGAAGAATGGTCAAACCTTCCCATAGACACCCTCTGAAACCTTGTGGACGGCTTTCCCAGAAGAGCTGAAGCTGTTATAGCTGCAAAGGGTGAGCCAACTCAATATTGAACCCTACGGACTAAGTCTGGGATGCCATTAAAGTTCATCTGCGTAGAAAGGTAGGTGGCCCAATAGTTTTGAGTCTAAGGTCAATGGACACAGCTTCACACGGGCTCTGTCCAGGCCACACCGTGGCGTGTGGCCTGAACCAACCTTGGCTGAAGCCACATCCATTGATCTTAAACTGACCCACCAGTTTGGATGAATTAGAGCGGAGACTGTGAGCCAGGCCTCCTCCCCCGACATCAGTGCCTGACCTCACAAAGGCGCTTCTGAAAGAATGGTCAAACCTTCCCATAGACACCCTCCTAAACCTTGTGGACAGCCTTCCCAGAAGAGTTGAAGCTGTTATAGCTGCAAAGGGCGGGGCCAACTCAATATTGAACCCTACGGACTAAGACTGGGATGCCATTTAAGTTCATGTTCATGGAAAGGCAGGCGGCCCAATACTTTTGAGTCTAAGTTCAATGGACACAGCTTCACACGGGCTCTGTCCAGGTCACACCTCCGACATGTTTTTTTGTCCTGCTCACAGGGAGTCATGGGCCTCAATGATTAAGCCCTGTGAGTGGGGAGAAAGGCATCGGCGTGTGGCCTGAAGCAACCAAGGCTCCATCCAGGCCATGCCTCCGATGTGTTTCGCCCTGTCCACAGGACTTAGTCGTGGAATCATGGGCCTCAGTGATTACGCCTTGTGAGCAGGGAGAAAGGCATCGACGTGTGGCCTGAACCAACCTGAGCTGAAGCAACACCCATTGATCTTAAACTTACCCACCTGTTTTGATAAATTAGAGCAGAGACTGCGAGCCAGGCCTTCTCGTCCGACATCAGTGCCTGACCTCACAAATGTGCTTCTGGAAGAATGGTCAAACCTTCCCATAGACACACTCCTAAACCTTGTGGAAGACCTTCCCAGAAGAGTTGAAGCTGTTATAGCTGCAAAGGGCGGGCCAACTCAATATTGAACCCTACAGACTAAGACTGGGATGCCATTAAAGTTCATCTGCGTAGAAAGGACCAATACTTTTGAGTCTAAGGTCAATGGACATGGCTTCACACGGGCTCTGTCCAGGCCAAACCGTGGCGTGTGGCCGGGACCAACCTTGGCTTAAGCCACATCCATTGTTCTTAAACTTACCCGCCTGTTTGCAATCCTCCAGTGAACCTAAAAGAAGCTGCTCATGTGCAGCTCTGTGTACACTTCCAACACAGTGGGAGTGTGCCAAGATGAATGACTCCCATGCACGCACGGGAGTGACTTCATCCTGCACCGGCCAAGATGGCCGAAGACCTGCACTAGGAAGAAGTCAGGCACCAGATGCTGACACCAACAGTGGACCTTGCGGGTTCAAACTGTTGAGCATAGGGCATAGGTGAGTATTCTTGCCTTTAGTTCTGCTTTAAGTGCAAATGCCTCTTTCACATGAGGCGGGCCCGTTATGAGATCCACCTGCTCAATGGGAGATCTGTCTGCTGACCCCTGCCAAGCAAGCAGTTGACTTATGCAGAGCAGACACGGACACAGTCCACTGTCATAGATGAATGGGGATTCATTCCCCTTTTTCCCGTCAGATTGGATTCAGATGGCAGTTGGGAGGAAACGGACTGCCTATCCGTTTCCATCCAACTGCCATCCGATTGGACAGACGGAAGGGGATCCCCATCTGTCTCTCCAATTGGTTTGGATGTTGGTGGGTGTACACGGACACATGTTCATAAAGGAGAATGGAGGTTCCGATCCGGTCCACCTGAAAAATGGGCAGGAGGACCCAAAGGGAACGTCCGTGTGAAAGGGACCTAACAATAGACAACTGGGAAAGGCTGACACCAAAAGGCTCATTTCTTAAGAATACATTATTGGGTATTCAACGTAAACACGGCTGAAATCTATTGAGTGGAAATTCTCAACTCCTTTAAAAAAATCAACCCATGAGTCTTACAAGGTCAGTCCACAAAAAAACACATAGAGGGAGATTTACTAAAACTGAAGCACTCAGAATCTGGTGCCAATCAGCTCCTAACTTCTGCTTGTTCGATGAAGCTTTAGCAATAAAACCTGGAAGCTGATTGGTTTCTAAGCAGAGCTGCACTAGATTTTGCCCTCCCCAGTTTTGTAGAGGAGATTAAGAGTTGACTGCATTTCGGGCAGATCAACAGGTATTCTCCTGTACTAGCATTATTTTGCCCTGACATACGTTTTTAAAAAGTACAAAAATAATAGTTACTAGAACTGCATCTGTTGAATGGAATCTTCGCTCTCTTGCAGAGCTACAACCATCAGTAGAATCTTCAACATCCGACACTTCTGGGTGTGTCAATGACCAGGACTTCCAACTGTGCTCTGCGGTTCCACCCGCTGGCCACTATAACCTATACACTTTCTCGGATCTGCAGGGACACACTAGTAGCTTAGCAGATGGCGAGCCAACAGTGGAGAGACACAGGCACCAGCACAACCAGAAGTGTCAGATGTTGAAGGTGAGTTCCATAGCCACTACCCACATGGAAGAAAAATATATTTTAAATATATTTGAAAATATTCTTCCCAAATATATTGAAATATTTTTGAAATACTACAAATTTGGCCATACTCAATATATATATAAAAAAAAAATATATATATACATATTCTTCGCTCCATAAGACGCTCCTTACCATGTGACTCGCCTAGGTTTTAGAGGAGAAAAACAAGAACAAAAATATTGCGAACCAATGAACTGCAGACATAGTACAGGAAGTGACCAGACACTGTGGACATAGTACAGGACATAGTACAGGCTCTGAGGAAGAAGGCATGGCCTTTGAAACGCGTCAACTGTACTGAGTGTCTACCCTCATGATGGGATTCACGCTGGTTCTCTATCTCTGAAGTCCCTTTGAGAACTACATGCCTGATTTTATTCGCTGTTTGTGAGTACCATTCTTTAATTAATAAATTTGGTTACTGAGGTAATGCGCAAGGTTGGTGCGCTTCTTGTTTTTGTTTTACTTTGCAGTATTGGTCAGGCTTCCCCAGCCTTGTTTGGAGCTGCACAGCCTTTAATACACTGGTGGTTGCCTTTTTCTGGTTTTGGTTCAATCTATTCGCCACTGGCCTGGGTCCTAGAGTGCAGGAGAAATCGCATCTGGTCTATAGTACAGGAGATGACCAGAGACTGCGGACATAGTACAGGAGATGACCAGAGACTGCGGACACAGTACAGGAGATGACCAGAGACTGCGGACACAGTACAGGAGATGACCAGAGACTACAGACATAGTACAGGAGATGACCAGAGACTGCAGACACAGCACAGGAGATGACCAGAGACTGCGGACACAGTACAGGAGATGACCAGAGACTACAGACATAGTACAGGAGATGACCAGAGACTGCGGACACAGTACAGGAGATGACCAGAGATTGCGGACACAGCACAGGAGATGACCAGAGACTGCGGACACAGTACAGGAGATGACCAGAGACTACAGACATAGTACAGGAGATGACCAGAGACTGCGGACAGTACAGGAGATGACCAGAGACTGCGGACACAGTACAGGAGATGACCAGAGACTACAGACATAGTACAGGAGATGACCAGAGACTGCAGACACAGTACAGGAGATGACCAGAGACTGCGGACACAGCACAGGAGATGACCAGAGACTGCGGACACAGTACAGGAGATGACCAGAGACTACAGACATAGTACAGGAGATGACCAGAGACTGCGGACACAGTACAGGAGATGACCAGAGACTGCGGACAGCACAGGAGATGACCAGAGACTGCGGACACAGTACAGGAGATGACCAGAGACTACAGACATAGTACAGGAGATGACCAGATACTGCAGACAGTACAGGAGATGACCAGAGACTGCGCACATAGTACAGGAGATGACCAGAGACTGCGGACACAGTACAGGAGATGACCAGAGACTGCGGACACGGTACAGGGAATGACCAGAGACTACGGACATAGTACAGGAGATGACCAGAGACTGTGGACAGTACAGGAGATGACCAGAGACTGCGGACACAGTACAGGGAATGACCAGAGACTGCGGACACAGTACAGGGGATGACCAGAGACTGCGGACACAGTACAGGGAATGACCAGAGACTGCGGACACAGTACAGGAGATGACCAGAGACTGCGGACACAGTACAGGAGATGACCAGAGACTGAGGACACAGTACAGGAGATGACCAGAGACTGCGGACACAGTACAGAAGATGACCAGAGACTGCAGACATAGTACAGGAGATGACCAGAGAATGCGGACACAGACAGGAGATGACTAGAGACTGCGGACACAGTACAGGGATGACAGAGACTGCAGACATGACATAGACAGACATGCGGACACAGTACAGGAGATGACCAGAGACTGCAGACATAGTACTGGAGTGACCAGAGACACAGTACTATGTCCGCAGTCTCTGGTCATCTCCTGTACTGTGTCCTCAGTCTCTGGTCATCTACTGTGCTATGTCTGCAGTCCATTGGTTCAGAATATTTTTTTCCTGTTTATCTTCTATAAAATCTAGGTGCGTCTTATGGGGCGAAAAATGCGGAATTTTTTAAAAATACTCTTCCCAAATATATTCACATATATTTGAAATACTACAATTTTGGCCGTATTCAATATATGTCAAAATATATTTCAATACATACATATATATATATACATACACACACATATATAATTTATATTTGTATATATATATTAACATATATTTTTACATATATTTGTAAATGCATTCCAAAATGTAGATTAAATGTATTTTTAAAGACATACAGTATATCTGAAAATTTATTTTTAAAAATATTTTTCGCACATTTTGTAATAAAAACACATTTCAACATACAGTATATATATATATTTATTTATTGAAATATATATTTTGACATATATTGAATACGGCCAAAATTGTAGTATTTCAAATGTACGGCAATATATTTGGGAAGAATATTTTGAAAATATACCGGTATTTTTTTTCCATGTGGGCAAGATATACATATTTGCCCATGGACTTGGATCTGTATGTTTCATATTGCATATGTCTGTTGTAAAGTTTGGAAATTATGGAAATTGGGGCTGATCTATGGCGCAAAGGTGTATTAATTGGTGTGATCTGAGGTCCGAAGTTGCAAGGATTGGGGCTGATCTGAGGTGTGAAGGTGCAGAAATTAGACCTAATCCAAAGGTGCAGAAATTGAAACTGATTTGAGGTTTGAAGGTGTATCTGTTCGGGGCTGATCTGAGGTCTGAAATTGCAGGAATTGGGGTGATCCGAGGTATGAAGGTGCAGGAATTGGGGTGACCTATGGTGTGAAGGTACGGGAACTGGGGTGATCTGAGGTATGAAGGTACAGGAATTGGGGTGATCTACGATTTGAAGATACAGGAATTGGGGCGACCTGAGGTGTGAAGGTGCAGGAATTGTGGTGAGCTGTATGAGTTTAATTTCCCATCAGCAGTACAACTACTATACTACTGTAGTAGTCCACGCCAGTGGTGTATTTAGGTGTTGTGCTGCCCTAGGCAGCACAAAAATTATGCGCTCCACCCCCCTTCCCATCCCTAGCCGGCATCTCCCTTCTTCCCCAGGTCGTGCTCCCTCTCCCATCCACAGCCAGCACCCTCCGCTCTTCCCCCGTATCCCTGCACAGACAAGGATCAGAGCCGAGATCGGGACGCTCCCAGGCAGCACTCACCAATCAGCAGAGGCTCCTTCCTCGTCCGGCCACTTGGCTCCTCCTCTCTACCTGCTCCGGCCTGAGTGCACCCTGCAGATCCGGCACCCACAGTCCTCTCGCCGATCAGATCCCATGTAGCAGAGACTGCCGCAAGCGAGCCTGCAAAAGTAACGTCTCCTGCGTGCCACTGTCCCCCCAAAAAAATGCGGCCCAAGGTAAACGCTTTGTTTGCCTGATGGTACATCTGCCCTTGGTCTATATGCAATGAGCAATGTGGTCTACCGGCTTCTCCTCTGCACACTAACCAAAAGGAGGTCGACTACTAGGCACTCTGCCATTCATAGAACACCTTTTCGGTTTTTTTTTTTAGTGTGTACAAGGAATTCTATGATCAGTGAAGGTGGACATTGTGATGTCACCATCACCTCAACCAAAGAGTGTCTTGTATTCATTGAAAAAAAAATATGTACTATGAATGGTGGAGGTGTCCAGCAAGCGAGGTCAACTTTAAATATTATATGAGATTTGACACCAAGCAGGAGGAGCAAGAGGGCCGTGATCTAGAACACTTCTCAGGATATTTCTCAGCACACAAGATTTTTGCTACTTTTTGACATAATAGGGTCTTACGTGTTTTCTTACCTGCAATTCATTTTTTTACTTCCAGCCTTGGAGCCGGCCCCAACACTGCACTTTGTTTCTACCTTTCAAAAAGCCTATCCTGAAGCATCATCACACTATAGGTTCTTCGAATGAGGAGCACACACAGGGTGGAAATGTGATGGCGTTGAAGTACAGCTGCCTTGCCACGAATGCAGGAAAAAACTAACATCATGGCATGATGAGCTACCGATGTCTAAATGCCATCAATCTTGCAGATTTGCCCATAGATATACAAAGACATGGTCTTGATGGTTGGCCTTTGGTCATTCTCCCTGGACTTCCAATATCTTGAGTGCAGTGGTCCTTCACCACGTTCGGAATCTACCCATAGATATACACTATTATTTCCTTGATGGTTGGCATATTTGGTCATTCTCCATGGACTTCCATCATCTTTAGTGCAGTGGTCTCTTCACCACGTTCGGGATCTATTCCCCATAGATTTTCACTATTATTTAATTACAAAAACTATTTGTCTCATAGGAAAACAATTTTAGCATTTTATACTTGGTACCTTTTTTTTTTTGGCCAAACTCCTTGGTGAAGGTTCTCTTCACATGAAAAAAAAAAAACTTATTTTGAAGATTAAAAAATTCCTTTAAATGCACTATAATGGGGAACCTTTCCATCGTAACTGATGTTTTTGTTTACATTTATGAGTGTAGTTTCCCCTCATTTATTCAGGATCTACCCATAGTATCTCCTATGTTATACTCTGTATCCATTTTGGAATCCACCCATAGATATTGAAAACGGTTATCATCTCAATGGTTGGTCTTTCGGATATCCTCCTTTTGGATATTCCTGATGTTTTTGTTTACGTTTCTTGAGTGCAGTTTTTTGTTACTAAGAAAAATGTCAAAGGAAAAAAATTATCTAATTACAAAAAACTATTTGTGTCAAGAAAACATTTCCCAGTTCGGTACGGCGCATGTGCAACGAGGCTGGGTTCGTTTGATTGCATTTTGTACTGTTTTTTTTTTTTTTTTTTTGCTTTTAAAAACAAATAAGCAAACAAAACCCGAAATGTGTAAAAAAAAAAAAAAAAAGTTACCCGTGAAGTTCTCTTCACATGAAAAAAAAAAAAACTTCTTTTGAAGATTAAAAAATTCTTTTAAATGCACTATAATGGGGAACCTTTCTAACGAAAATAATTGCTACCTAGTTGTCTTAACTGATGTTTTTGTTTACATTTATGTTTTTTGAACCAGTTTTTTCTACTAAAAGAAATGTTTTGAAAAAAAAAATTTTTGTCTATATGTATCTCATTGGGGGGAAAAAAATGTATCCATTGACATTTTAAATCCTAAAATGCTAAAGTTGCCTATTCATGAAAAATAGCCATCTATATTTAGAGGAAAACATGTTTGTAAATGGATTATAACGAGGAACTTTTCCACTGAAAGTAATTGCTACCTAGGTGTCTAAACTGATGTTTTTGTTTACGTTTATGTTTTTTGTACCAGTTTTTTGTTATCTGATTACAAAAATATCTTAGGAAAAAATGTACTAATTTCTACTTTTATATTTTTTTTTTGGACGCCGATGACGAAACGCGTAGGGAGGGGCTTGATTGGTGTGAAGTCAGCACGTTCCCAGTGGTCGGTACGGCGCATGTGCAACGAGGCTGGGTTCGTTTGATTGCATCTGACTATGCTGATTGTGCTGGTGTCGGCTAGGACACCGTTTTTTGTAAGTGTAATGTGCTTTTAATAAACTAGAGATTTTAGAGGTACTGCACCATGAGCTTTTGTTCTTTTTCCGAGTGGCTGTCCTAACATCTAATGGAAGTGGTGGTTTCTAAATGAAGTGGATCTATAGAGTTACATATTCTACTGCAGAGTATTGCTCCCTGGATAGTGGATATCGATTTTCAAGTCAAGCATTGTCTCATCAGTCTGCAGATCATTGCTCTCAGAGCAGAAAGCGTTTAGGATTATTTATAATATTATCAGCATATTGCTCTGGTGAGTTTATTCATTTTATTTGGTGGTGGATCGGCACTTGGTGGATTTCCTTTGAACACTTTTCCATCAGTAACAATATTTATGATGATTTTGGGACTTTATATGATTTATATATATTTACCATATATATTTTTTGGACACTATTTATTTTACTAGCGCAATCTGTTTGTTTTTTATTTTTTTTGGTACCCTTTTTTTGTAAAAAAAAACAACTAATTTTTGTAAAACTAGTTATCTGATAAAAAAAAATATTTGTTTAAACGTATCTTGTAGGGAAAAAAAAAAAAGATTTAGTATTGACATTTTACATCGTAAAACGTTAAAGTTGTCTATTCATGAAAAATATCCATCTACAGTATATTTAGAGGAAAACATGTTTCTAAATGGATTATAACGAGGAACTTTTCCACCGAAAGTAATTGCTAACTAGGTGTCTTAACTGAAGTTTTTGTTTACTTTTATGTTTTTTGTACCAGTTTTTTGTTAAAAAAAAGATATTATCTGATTACAAAAATATCTTAGGAAAAAATGTAGTAATTTATACTTTTATATTTTTTTGGTACCATTTTTTGTAGAAAAAAAAAAAAAAAAAACCAACAACTAATTTTTGTAAAACTCGTTATCCGATATAAAAAAATATATGTTTAACTACATGCCGCCCAGCCACTGTACATATACAGCGGCAGGGCGGCACTCGCAGGCAAAACCACGTTTTAAAACGTGTGTTTTGTAAACAAATAGGGGGCGCGCACGAGGCGCGCCGCCGCCCTATCTGTCCTGCGGATCACCAACCGCAGATGTCAGCCGCCGGGTCACAGCCGCTCCTTAGCGGCTATGTCCCGGCGAACGGCGGCAAACAGTGACAGACAGCACAACTGCAGTAGCTGTGCTGTCTGTCACTTCCCTGTCAGCTCGAGGATGAGCTGATCAAGAAAGAACAGTTTCTCTTTCTCGATCAGCCTTGTCCCGCCCAGTACACACCCCGCCCCCTAGTAAAACACTCCCCTCACTCCTATAACCCTTCCCTGCAAAATAAAGTTAACCCCTTCCTCCCCATTGCCATTAGTACAGTGTCAGTGTTTTTTT